CTTTTTGGTTAGTGTATTATAAATCAAACAAGAGAAACAAATCGTGATAACATCTCAATCCAGAGTTGGCCATTATGAAAAAAGGCAAATAAACAACATTTGAGCGTGTTAATTAAACTAAACCGCTTTTCGAATGGCACAGCAACAGCAACAGCAACAATAGCAAAGAATACAAAGAATTTCGGTGGTGGAGAACTATTGAATTTCACAATATTTAAGGCTTGCGAGGCTAATCATTGGTTGGAGCTGGCTGTCGATTGGGGTTCCATTTTGAATGATCTGAATGCTGGGCATGAGCATGTCGTAAATCACTTGACAAAAGCCAGGGAGCATCGGGCTAGTGACTGTGACTAGGACAGCTGCGAAATCCTTGAGATTCCTGCCCCGGCATACAAAAAGCGCCAGCTCAAATGCAAAGGATCCGGCTTTGGGTGCGCTTTTGGCATGCACGAGACGGAGCATTTTTGGCAATCGTTTAAGCCCGGCCAAGCGGAGAACTCAGAGCTGTGGAGAGTGGGCTGGTTGTCTGACTGGAGGCTGGCTGGTTGGCGGGTGGGGGAGAGTGCCAACAAGTACGTGCATCCAAGCAGATTCCCAGTTAGCAGCTCACAACAATTCGCTTTTAAGCCAGCGCATAAATCAACCTCAGAAGATATCCTATCCAATGCTGTCCTATCCCCAAAAATACATGAGCAGTACAATTGGAGGAGGGTAAAAGTTGGCGTTTTTTTTGGGACGGGCCGCGGCATTTTATTGAAAGGATAATCGATGGCAGCGACTGACTGTTGCCAGGCGCGCATTAAAGGATTTGGATTTGGAGCTACTTTAAAACTTGACTCAAGAAGATGTCGACGAACTGAGCTGAGCGATTGCGGTCGATTTAATTGAATGATGAATTGCGCCGGACACTGGGGAGGAGGAAGGCAGGCATGAAGGCAGCAAGGCAGCAAGGCAGCAAGGCGGTGGGACGGGTTGAAGGAACATCTTCAGTCGTCACGGCGTACAAAGGGTGTCAGGGAAGGGGTCGTTGGGACACCAGTAGCAGCTTCCAACGAAACGACAAGGACTGATACGCATAATCAGTCAAAATTTATGACAAGCTCGAACCGAAAGGCAAGCTTAAGCTTATTTAATTGGCCCAGGTCCAGTGGCCTCAAGAGTGTCCCCCAGGACATGCCTAATTAGCATTGGGGGTCCACATAGGATGATGGCAATTTTTTGTCGGCCCTGTTCTATGTGTGCCTGGGACCCGAAATTATTTTTACTGTTTTCCATTTGCGTTGTGTCCCGATTTCTCCATTTCCACCCCCACTCGACTGCGACTACGACTCCGAATGCGACTCTGACGGATGACTCCACTGGAGAACTCAGTGGTAATTTGTCTAGGCCGAAACGGGCTTCTTGTCCTGTCCCTACACTGACGCACGGCGCAGTGGAGTGCTGCTCAAAGTTCTGGCAGCCGGCAGTCTTTTGTCTTTTGTCTTTTGTCCCTGCGTTTCGCTCGATTTGATTTGGGCGCTAAAAGGGGAACAACAGCGCAGCGTGAACCGAAATTGTTAAGCTTAGTGCAGTTTCGTGTAACGCATTACTCTTGCTTAACATTTACAGAGGTTTTTTTTTGCTTTTCCTCTCTTCTGTAGTATCCAAAAAACCAAAGAGAGGGTATACAAACTAAGCGTCCGTTCATATTGGGGGGGCAAGCGTCTTCAAAATGAGTCAAAGCACTGCTGATATAAAGAGTATAGTTCAACAGTGTTTTAAAATAAGCCCATGTGTTAAATTCATGACGAAACGTGTCAAATCTTCTATTCAATTCATTACGACACGACGAGGCATTGTTAACAACAACTGATTTCGAGCAACGGATAAGTTCGGTTTGTTTCCGAATCTTTAATTTAGCCAGGTCTCAAACCATTCGGCTGCCTTAGGTATAGCTACTGACCAATAGATGGCGCTAAACTTGTTTCCTCGATTTCTAAGATGCGTACATATGAAATTCTTCTCACCAGTAGATGGCATTTATCACTTCTACTACATTTTGGTGTAGAATTAATATATAATGTACATGGTAGTGACACGTTCACAGTAGCGCTTCGCCACAGTTTCAATGCGAACAGCTTCTGTCAGATATAATGTTAAACGCGTAGTGTTAAAAGTCGAACTTAAATGTAAATGTCCTGTTAGTATAGTGACTCATTTGCTAATAAGTGGCACCGGACATATGTATATAGATCTGAACTTAATTCCTGGCCTTGGCTCTGGAATTGTGAAAGTTGAATTAACTCGAGCCGTGCCTTCAAGCAGTGCTTTGCCACAGGAACTTACAAATGTTGTATATAAAGTCCTGAACAGAATTGATCTGCCAACAATGAAATACTTATTCATATGTATCAATTAGGATCAATTTTGGCTTTCGATTAAGAATGAACGTACCACAGCCAACAGAAAAAGGGGAATCGGATATGGCGTTACATTAGTGTCATAGATAGAGCGATTGGGAACTCAATTAGTTGAAGAACGATCCCAATCTCTGGCTTGGCCCATAGCAATCATCTCCCGATCACTTCCCACCCCTGGCCATGTGGTTCCTGTAGGCGTTCTTGTTTCCCAACTCCAGAGCTCCTATATGCCAATGATACCATTATTTATTGTGTGTATGAGGCCTAAGAAAACCTCCTGTTTGCATTGAGAGAGGAACAAAGACGCAAGGGAAATACACACCTTGAAGCGGAGTGAGTGTCTTTCGATTTCAGGCAAGGACAAGGACACGGTGCGCTGCGGTGCGGCACGGCAAGTAGCAAACATTGCAAACAAGCAAGCAAAACATGTCCACGCCCCTAAGCTGCTAATGAGGGACAACACAACTGCAACTGTGGGCTGTGAAAACACGCACACAAAGGCGACAAGCCGCATGAAAGGACGCATGCTGCGCTACGGATCGGAATCGAGATCAGAATAGGGATCGGGCAGGCAGCTGAGAGAACCGAACACAGAATTATAGAGACAGAGAGAGAGAGAGAGAGAGAGAGAGAGAGAGAGAGAGAGAGAGCAAAGGATACAGTAGCAGCATGGCCGCAAAACGATCTTGAGAGAAGTCTCTGGTGGTTAAGGAAGAGGCTACCTACTCCTCCCGCAGCACTCTCGTTGTTCATTTAACAATCGCACTCAGCACAGCCGATAATGTAGCACCATGGAAAATATTGTAAAATCCAGACAATCTAGCAACAAGCAGACATCCACCAGAGAGCAAAACAGACAGACAGACAAAGGCATAAGCGGATTGGGCCAACAAAGTTGAGTGGCCTCAATACCTCGCCCTGATCCTTCGCCTGTGTCCGTGTCCGTGTTTGATGTCCTGCGGCGCATATTAACATTATCAGCTGTGTGTCGCCCGAAAAAGAAGCGGCGTAAATCCCACTAGAGAATGTTATCGGAGCCCAGTAATTGTGTCTCGTCCTAGCCGGCATTCAAATAATGCGTGAAAATTTACACCGAGCCGAGAGCCCCCCGCTGTGCCAAGCACAGGGACAAGATAGGACATTCTTCTCTGCGGTGTAATCGGTGTAAATGTGGTTAAGTGATTTAAGGGGATATTATCGAGCACAGCAGCACGAAGCGGACAAATCAATCAGCTTCGCATTGAGACGGAGAACTCAGACAGATTTCGTTTACATTACCCCAGAGAGAGAGCCTCGGCTCGGATGGGCTCCCTCGTTCTCCTTCTCTTTCTCTGTGGCCCCCAATCTTCGCGTCGCTTTAACACAGTTTGCCCCGAAACGGAAACGGAAATTTCTTTCGCATGTTTGCGACTGCCGCAATCGAATCGCTTCCATTTTCCATTTTGTTTGCATGGCGAGAGTTAAGTGACTTTCTACAGATAAATCCTCGTACTCGCATTCGTACCCGTACCTACATATATACAAGGACTGCCTCGGTTTGGCACTGATCCGAGCATAGCCACATCAACCCCTCTTTGGCCGAATCTGAAGCTTCCAATTAACACTGAGCGACCATAAAAATGCAGTCATTCGGTCAAAAATGAAAACAAATGCCTCCGGGCATCCTAAGAGTGCTGCCCTCAAATATTATTATGATTGTTATTCTGTTATTTTGGCACCCTCTGGTCTAACGATGTTAGTGTTTCCGTTTCTGCCACATGCTTACCCATCAATTTGCGTGCAACTCGCATGCCCCAGGACAGGGCAAGGAACAGGGAGAGGAACACGGACCGGGACTGGAACAGGGGTCTGTCTCTGGACAGGGAAACGAAAAAGTCACGGCAGGGACTATTTGTAACATTTGGCAGACGTCAACGCCCTGCCCTGCTCAAGTGCAGGAAAATGAAATCAAATCAAAGCCAAACGATTTGATCAGAAAAATGTCATAATTGAATCGCTGTGGGAGCGGCAACCCACTGCCTGTGGGCGTAACAGGCTTTTGATGACTTTATGGTAATCAGAGATGGCCGAAGAGTCTCCGATTTCAGCAGGCCAAGCCGGGCTCCTTGCTAGCAAACGAGCCACAGAGCCAAAGAGCTGCACATAATTTCCGCTCCTGGTGCTCATTTCGACTATTCTGTGTATACAAAACTAATTAATTTCCCAAAAATGCAGCAGGAAAGGGTTGCGAGGCGGTTGGAGGGTGCTAGGGAGCTGGGGAGCTGGTGCCCCGATCCAGCAGTCGGGAGACAGGATATTTGTGCAAGCAATTTCCGGTGCCGAAGAGCGTTTTGTGCGTAATTAATTTATGCAAAATACAAATGCAAACAAATTGCAAATGTTTTCGCACGAAATTGTTGCGCGCGCCAAAATTGTTTTCCAAAATAATTAACTTTTCAGCGGGTTTAATTAGAAATTTTCTCAATTTTTCCGCTTGCCCCCAGCAGCAGGCACAAGGATGCCAGGCACTTCTCCGTCACTCGATTAGTCAGTAGCTTGGAGACGGAGCTGCTCAGTATTTTCATTCTCCCTGTGTGTCGTATCAGCCTCAATCCAGTCAAAATGTTGGATCATTTTTGGGACATCACCGAAACGAATGCGTTTAAGATAATCCTCTGCCTGTTTATTTCCGCTTTGATAATTTACGGTGTGAGAATCAGCTGTCTGGATTTCAGTCAAGCCAAGAGATCGAGTGCCGCAAGAGGATTAAGCCCGTCTGCCGGTCCAGGTGGATCGCTCAACACTTTTGACTATGGAGCTATTCGAGGTCCCCACAGCTGGATTGTGCCTAGCAACAATCAGAGCCCCATCAACATCGACCAACGAAGCATGGAGAACATTTACTTCGAAACACCGCTGGAGTGGACAAACCTGGAAATTATGCCCGCTGCCATCCGCCTGGAGAACAACGGCCACACTCTGGTGCTGCGCGCCTCCTATCCACGATGTGTGCCCTCGATTGGCGGCTGGGATCTGCTGGGGCGCTTTGAACTTCGAGAGATCACCTTCCGCTGGAGCTGGTCGAGCAACATGGGCTCGGAGCACACCGTCGACAACCGCCACTTTCCGCTGGAGATGCAGTGCCTCCACACGCTGTCGCAGACCTCGGGCATTATTTCTAGCCAGAATGTTCTGATGATCTCCTACATGTTCGAGGTGGGCCAGGACAATCCTTACATGGATGTGCTCACCCAGCATATCGTGGCCATCAAGAGGGCGGGCCGCTCTGTGGAGGTTTCCCCCTTCCCCATCAGCTACCTCATGACACCGTTCTACACAGAGTTCTTCAGCTACCAAGGGTCGCTCACGCAGCCACCCTGCCATCGTGGAGTCGAGTGGCTCATCAATCCCCGTGCCCTGGCCATCAGTGAACGTCAGCTGAACGCGTTCCGCCAACTGCGAAGCTACCAAGGCGCACACATCGGCTTCAACGCTCGACCCGTGCAGCCACTCGAAGATCGTACGGTCTTCTACAATCTTTATCGTATTTGGCGATAGCTCTCCCTAGGACAGAATATTCTGTTCCTAAACTCAGCACCAAACATGATATGGATGCTGGGAATGAATTCAGCATTTCTGATGCATCAATTCTCAAGTCTGCGAACATCTATCTATTCCTTTCTGCAAGCATCTCAGAGACAATATATTTTATATACAAGATCCGATGGCAGGGAAACATAAAGGGAAAATTACAAGAAAAAAACGATCTCCAGCTCATCACCTTGTTAACAATTCACAGAGAAGAAACGAAATATATTTTTTATGCACACACACAAACATATTCGCAGGTTTCCTTTCTGAACAGTGTGTGCGGAAAGTTGTCTCGATTCGGCAGGGGGCTTCATTAGCTTCCAAGCAGGGACTAATTGGACTTGGGCAATCTTCCGCACAATTTCATGAGGTTAGTCGTTTGTTGGGCAAATAGTTTGCCTATATACTAATCCACTAATTAGACGTTCAAAGAGCATTAGCATTAGCTGAGGACGGTCCCCGGGTTGCGTCAGTGTCCGAGTACGCTTCCTGTGCGCCTCAGCGCCGCAGGATATGCCTCTCCTACATACATACGTACACGTTCATATATTTGTTTCTTCTTTGGATGTATCTGTAACTGTATCTGGATGCATCGCATCTGTTTCTGAGTGTGTGTTTGCGTGTGTCTGCCGTCTGTAATTTCGTTAGTGCAACGGAAACTGTTGCGGACATATTTGCTCTGGCCTGGGATTGGGATTGGGTTTTAGGGTTTTGGGCTTTGGACCTCCTGTGGCGACGCACCCTCATCTTCCGCTCTCCATCCCAGTCACATCACCCTCCAGGCAGGGTATTGGCATTCCCCTCTGCTACAGCTGCTTCTGCGGCTCGGTAATCAGAGTCCCAGTTTCCAGTTCCTGGCTTATAATTATCAGTTGGCGCCTAACCATAGATGGGCATTCTCGACCATGGTCAGTGCAGTCCGTTGCTCTGTAATTAGTTTTTATTTCAGAGTTGGGGGTATCCACCACATCGCTATATCCGTCCAGCTCTCCATCTCTTCATCGCATCTCATCCATCTCTCTCTCCCTCAATGGGCGCTCTTCGAATTCGATTGGACCTGGACATCGACTTGTTTAATCAATGGCAGGCCAAGTGAATTTCAATGCAATTGCGTTTGCTGCAAATCAACGCTAATGAAATTATTCAAACAAGTTTCGTTGTGTTCTGTGTCTCTCTCTCTCTCTGTCTACCTCTCTCTGTCTGGATTGCTTGTGTCAATATTGGTGCGACGCGGCCATTCGCAATTTGCGTGTTTTGAAAACTTAATTGAATTGCAATTCCCACAAACAAAGCTTAATTTTTCGGTCACGTCTATTATTTTTATTTTGTTGGCCGAAAACTAAAACTTTTGTGCTAGAAATGCAATTAAAAAATGTATAATTCCATTGATATGCAAATTGATTGCACACAAAATGTTAAATTAAAATGAAAATGTTTGTTAGAATTTTAATGCGATTTTACCGAGAAACGCATAATTATTGCCGCACTTGGATTTATTTTCACAAATGTACATACATATGTATGGATTGGAGCACTAAAACCACCAATAGCCATTTGCATATCTAATGCAATCGATCATCGATCAAAGCGATATTCTAAATGCATTTTTAATTGAATCTCTAATCAACTGCAGGAGCAGCAAACTATACATAAGGTGCTTGTTTGTAGGCAGAGGTAAGTATTATTTAAGCATTCCATCTTTCCAATTATAATCATAAACGAAAAGTCCCAAATGTTGGACTTTAAGGCTCGACGATGTTCCCCTCTGTCAAAATACAAAAAGATAAAATAAAATAAAATTCAAATCTGAAGATTAGAGAACGAATTATGAATGCAAATATTCACCATTCGATCTCTATTCTATATGCGACAATGGCTGAAAGAGCTGAAAGCCTTACGGACAAAGCCGAAAACAGAAATCTCTGGCCTAATCGAAGCAGTCGCAGCAACACAAACATATCAATCAACATATTTAATTGCATGCAATTAGGATGAGGCTTGCAGGCTGCCAAAATCCAACTCCTTCAGTAGCTGAATCATGGGAGCCAGCCTCAAATCCACTCTTAGTCCCAGTCCCAGTCCCAGTTCCAGTTCCAATCCCCGGCTGGGAGCGCTCCCTTCAGCCCCAAGCAGGGCACGTAGTTTCTGCTTCACTGAAAATGGCAAGAAAATGAAATTAGACGAATAGAATGACGATGTAAGTGCCATGAAAAGACGTTAAGATGCTCTAAGCCAAGACGATGAGCACGACGGCGACAGAGTGAGAGTGAGTGAGAGAGAAAGAGACAGAGAGAGAGAGAGCGAGTCTAGAGGGGGGAGCAAGCTCCTTCTGCTGCTGAGAAAATTGAGGCAAATTGCATTTAAGTGTTGCCGTTTTCATTTAGCCGCATGAATATGTATGTTGGCGTCGCTGGAGCTTGTCCTGAACTTGCTGCCTTGGCTCTAGCTTTTGTGGCATGCAAAATTGAATGAATAATTGAGAAAACGAGCGCATGATGGCATTAGTGTGTGATTGTGTGTGCGCGACTGTGTGTGTGTGTGTGTGTGTGTGTGTTTCTGTGCATAAGAGAGTGTATATGCAACTAATGAATTTTAATTGCTTTTATTAAGGCTTTTGTGTCCTTTCGGGATGGAGACGTCCAGCGACTGGGATGGCCTGTCATTGCCGGTCCTGCATCAAAAATCCCTGTTTAATGTTAATTGTTAATCATTAAATATTGTTGGCAAAATCAATATGGTGGCTGTCCATTAATCAACGCCATTTTGTAATTATCTCGCTGCAATATTTAATTTAATTAACTCTGTGGGGAAGTAGAAACCCGAAGCCTCAGCTCTTCTTGCAATCTCCTCTCTCGCCCCGCTTCGTACATATCTGTGAATGAATTTAAATACATTTATAGTAATTGCAAATGGATATTGCTACAGAAACCGCAATAAAAAAACTATTTAAAAAAGCGCACATTTAATATTTGTATTTTTATAAAAAAATGTCCAACAAAAAGTTGCCTGAAAACTGCCTGGGTAGGCGACTGAAAGGGGCAAAAACACACATGAAAATTAATTTGAATGGAAAACTCGGTCCCCATCTCCATCTCTCACGCTCTTCTGTGTGTGTCCTCTCTCTCTCTCTCTCTCTCCCTGTGTCGCTCAGACCTTTGGCTCACTTCCTTTTTCAATTAAACGCCACCATTTTCCATTAACGAATTTGCATGTATGCATGTATGTATAGCTGAGTGTGTGTGTGTGTGAGTGTGTATAAGACTGTGAGACACCCATGAGCAAGCGACTGTGTTCCTTATCCCTCTACCCTCGCATATGCACACTCACACACACTCAACGCCCGTGTCTGTATTTCTATAATAAAATTAAATTAGAAGACCAGAAAATTAAATCATCAAAGCTTGACGTCTGCCGGCAGCGGCGGCTGCTGCTGCTGTTTCCTCCTGTCCATGGGAGTGAGTGCACATCCACACACATCCACACACACACACACACACACACACTTGTAGACCAATTTGCAAAAGCGACAGTTACGAGTTCATTAATATTTCTTCTTTTTTCGAGCTCTCACTCTTCCGTTCTCTCTCTTTCTCTCCCCTTTATCGCTCTCGCTCAAACTTTTCCCTGCCAGCCCAGGCCTTGTACTCTGCGGTTTTTGGGCTGGCACCACCTCCTCTCTCTCCCTCACTCTTCCTCTCATCGCTCTCTCTCTCTCACTCCCGCTCTCACAGTGTTGCTGGCTCTTTCGCGTCGGCCATGGTGTGAGCAGCATCATAAATTAAATTCTTCATCAACTCAAACTCGTTAAGCGCCAATAAAGTGACAGAGAGTTATTTTCATCACTTTTTCAATGGTAGACCACAAGGCAGGCATTTGTGTGAGTGTCTGAATGAGCGTGGTACTGCATGAGTGTGTGAGTGGCTCACTGCGCCGAAGCGCTCAGAGAGCGACTGCTTAGGCCACTCCCCCTAACCCAAAAAACAGAGAGAGAGAGAGAGAGAGCGAGAGCGAGAGCTGTCTGTTCGAATGAAAGGTTGGAAGAGGGGCTGGAGTAAGTTTGCTCAATAAACTGGTTCCCCTTTCCGCTGCAAGAGCAACCTTTTCTGAAACATTCACGCTTGCGCGATGCACGATGCACGATTTCGATCCGTTCTAAATGATAAGCAAAACCCGGCTAAGTGCCTTCCGGACACATCTGCCATGTCAGTGTCCGTTCGAAATGCGAGAGAGAGAGAGAGATGGTATCGGAAGCCTAATACCCTTTCAGATCACTCAATTATACGAGTAAATGTATAATATACATATGTATGCATGTATGCCAGACCATGCTGCGTATCAAGCATACGAGAAGACTCTCGCATATTCTCTAACCCCTCTCTCAGAGCCTGCTCAGAGATGCGATGCCATCTTAACTGCTTAACGACAAAAGCAAACTAATTAAATACAGCAAAAGGAGGAGAACTTGCCGCATAATAAAGCAAATTAAAAGCAAATTAATTTAAAACAAAAAAAATGCTGAGGGAGGCAGCACGCAGTGAGTGGCGTGGAGAAGAGTTAACGTTTGCGGATGTGGCGTAAATGAAAATGACGCGAGGCAACGTCGTCCATGGCACACACAGAGCCAGGCACAGGGGCAGGCACAAATGGATACCCCACACCCACACACCGACAGATAGCGACTGTATCCTCACAGACCAGACAGAGATACGAGGACACGAGCTCATTCCCTGTCCGCCCCATGCCCCCCAGTAACAGGCGGGCCGTCTGTCGCTCCACTTCAATTAAGCAGCGCGCCAACATGGCAGCCTCTCACCGATACGCACGCACACGCAGCCAGAGAGTGGCAGAGGTAGAGTCAGAGTCAGCGTCAGAGTCACAGAGAGAGATAGAGAGAGAGAGAGAGAGAGAGAGAGAGAGCGGGGGAGATTCGAGTGTACACCCACAACTGCCGCACATACATTGGCAGGACGTAATTACGTTTGGCAAGCTCGTTATGCGTAAGAATAAACGCACATTAAGAGCTCATTAGTTGGCACAAATCGAATCGTGGCGCCAAAGGAGGGCCACAACTGAATGGGAGAGTGGAAATGGGAGTGAGTATGGGAGTGTAGAGTGTGGAGGCTGTATACTGGATACTGGGAG